ATGTGACGTGCCTTTATCTTTCAGGAATGAATGCAGAGCAAACAGATTTTCTCATATCCAAGTGAAGATCAGTTACTGAATTTACTAAATCATCTCCACATTTCTGTGTGTTTAACAACATTTTTTCTTCTGACCAGATGATTATGGCCAGTTTATTTCATTTTTGCTTATTATATAACAGTAACAATTAATTAACCTGTGCAGAATGAGATATTTATGACTCTAATATAAGGATACAGTACAGAGAAATACAGGCCTAGTAGAACAGGAGAGACTGAGAAGCAGAGATGCAAGATTGGATGATAATACACTCTACAGGCTTAGGATGGTAGTAGAGAGAATTTCCCCCCAACTATGTATTAGTATCCTGTTTGTTAAAATATATAACCAAGTTTAATTAGTCAACAAGAAGCCTAGCTTATTAAACCCTTTCTAGATAATGTCCAGTGACAGTTATATATAACCCACTCAATAGAGCATAACTATGCATAACAGTTCCATTAATCTCTTTAATTAGAGGTGTTCTGATTGTATCATCCTTCTTCACGGCTGCACCAACACCTTCCTACCAAGAATGGCTCAGCTTAAGTTAAATAATAAATAAGCTAAAAGATGTACAAAGCTCAAGTGCTCAGTTCTACTCAGTGTAGAACCTGGATACTTTCAGATATTCTAGAATCTTAATTGGACTTGAAAATGCAGTAATTAATTTGGCTCAAGAAATACAAAAAAATGCTAGACCACTAGGTGAGGAAAAATTGTATTACCTAAATCCTACCAGTTTTATTGCTTATTCACTTACTGAACAAACCATCTCTGGTATGGAGTACTTTTCATATTTTCACAGAACCACAAAATGGTTTGAGTTGGAAGTGACCTTAAAGCTCATCTCATTTCAACCTTATGTCATGGGAATGGACACCTTCCACTTGACCAGGTTACTCAGAGTCCCTTTCAACCTGGCCTTAGACACTTCCAGTGATGGCGCAGCCACAGCTTTTCTGGGCAGCCTGTTTCAGCACCTAATCGCCCTTGAAATAAAAAATTTCTTCCTTACATCCAACCAAAACCCTCTTTCAGTTAAAAACCATTGCCCCTTGTCCTGACAATAGAAATCCTGGGGGAAACAAAAAGGAAAAAAAAAAAAAAAACAAGAAAAAGAGGGGTTAAAAAAAAAAAAAAATCTTTCTCCATCTTACTCACAAACTCCCTTTATACATATCAAAAACCTGAACAATCTCAATCTTTTGGCTTTTCCTCATAGGAGAGGTACTCCAGCCTGTTAACCATCTTTGTGGCCCACCTACGGACCTGCTCCAAGATCCCTGCCTTGCTTGCATTGGGAATGCTGGAGACAGATGCAGTACCTTCAGGTGGGGTCTCACCAGAGTGGAGTAGAGGGGCAGAATTACCTCCCTCAACCTGGTGTACCACTTTTTTTCATGCAGCCCAGGACACAACTGGCTTTCTGGGTTGCAGGTGCACATTGCCAGTCCACAGCCAATTTTTCATCCACTAGTATCCCAAGTCCTTCTGCAGCATTGCTCTCAAACCATTCATCCCCCAGCTTGTGCTGATAATGGGGATCACCTGACCCAGGTGTAGGACCTTGCACTTGGCCTTGCTTGACTTCAGGCAGCTTGCAGATCCTCAAGCTTGTCGTGCTCCCCCCCACAAATGGCATCCCTTCCTTTTAGTGTGTCAGCTGAACCACTCACCTTGCTGTCATCTGCAGCTGTGCTGAGGGTGCACTTGATCTCATTTATTTTGTTGATGTACATACTGAATAGCTCTGGTTTCAATATGAGCACCACTCATTACTGATTCTCACATGGATACTGAACTAGTGACTGTAACTCCTGGGACAAGGATGCTGTGGAGGACATTACCACAGAACCAGACAAAAAATGAAGCAGTATGCTGAGAGAGAAAGTTCACTCAAAATTACCTGTCTGCAGTAAAAAACAACAGAGAATATATTACGAAGTGTTTAAAATTCTTAAAATTCTGCCAGCCTCCTAAGTTTATTCCACAGTGAATCATTTTATGTAAAACGAGGATGCTGGCAAAATCAGGTATGTTTGAAGCTCTGTAACTAGGTTCAATAGATCTATTCAGAGTAAATGATTTATCCCACCTAAAACATGCACAACAAAGCCTAGATGAAGTCAACCAAACTTATGTCAGAGAAGAAAGGTGTAAGTCATCTGAATCTGCATGTCACTATTTGCAACACTTCTGAGTATATGAAAATATTAATAAAGTATTAAACTGAGTTTCATTTTTGATATGAACCTACTCCACTGGTATGAAATTTGAAACTCAGAAGGCAAAATGAATTACATACCACATGCACAAGGATTTACCAGCAGTAGCTAGGGAAGCTTTATCTGCAGTAGTGTCACAGCCAATAGCTTCCACACAGTACCACACTGCTGTGGCTAAATAGCATTTTCCTCGGTTTGAGGATGCCCTTCCTGTATGGTACACATACATAACTGGAGGAAATTAAGAATGGTAAATGCAGGCCAAGTGACAAGAATGACATCTTGATAGTGTCACAGTTCCTCTAAACCTGTCCCAAGTGAAACAGAACTTCCTCAGCTTGGAAACATAAAAAATAGAATTCTTCTCAGGAGAAACCTAACATGAGCACTTCACAGCCGTAACTAGGAAATCACAATTAAAAACTCAAGTTTTGGTTGCATCCATTACTGGCAAAAAAAATCAGGAGTAAGTAGTTCTTCCTAGGGAAGCTCTAAAAACACAGATATAAAAAAGCTAGATGAATTCGAGTTGGAAATAATAAATTGGGCCGCCTCAATGTTTCTTAAAATAGTGACAAAAGTTTTTGTTAAAGATGTCATCATCCCTTTGGCCTTCAGTGTCCATTTGTAAGGTAAAACTGAACTGCAGTTCACTGCTACAGGAAATTGTTTAAGGGACAATCACTGATTCTACAATGAAGTAAATTTCAACATTCAACAGTCACATGACAGCATTTAATACTGCAGTCACATGAAAGAAAATTACTGCTTCCCTTAGAAAATAAAACCCCACTCCTAAACCATGCACTTGACTAATCTCTTCTAAAGAATCAGATGGATGACACGAGTTAAAAAACTTCGAGAAGTATTTGCCTTTGTCATTTATAAATGCTGTGAGGAATCCTTGAGACTCCAAGGAAAGAAGTTTAGGACATCTATTCCTCTGAAAAATATACTTGCAGGCTAATAAATAACTAGCTGCAAAGACAACAAAGTCAAGAGAATAACTATTACAGCAATCTAATTTCAAAGGAAAACTATATTACATATCCTCTATTTGAAAATGCTGCAGTTTCCGTTTTATAAGTCCTGAACATTATGGGATCTAATAAGGGAAAGAACCTTGCTTCCCAACACAAGAATATAGTAATTGCTCAGAATTTCTGCAAACGTAGTAACACAATAAGCATTACCACTATTAATATCCATACATGTAAATGAACTAAAATGAAGTAAACCCACTGATGAAACAGCTCAAATAGCAAAAATTCTATAATTCTTCAGAATGCTGCCTTCCTCCCTAAAGGTGAATGAAAAGATTCAACCTTTCTCACCCATGTAACATGATTTCAAAATGAAGTTTAAAAGATTACTGTATTATGACAGTAAAACACTTGGTATCATCCATCATGACTTTCCTAGAGGGTTCTTGCTTACAAACAGCAAATGAGGAAGCATACATAGCAGTTATTGAACTCTATTCGAAAGCTATTTTTCCCTTCCTGAATACTGTGCTCCCACTCTTCTTCCAGAATAATACTTCCACTCTTTCTGCCATCAGTACTGAGTATCTATGATCCTAGGCCTACACTCTCTCTGCAGTAATCTGCAAAACCATTTGAATTCCATAGGAGTAGAAAAAGGTTCGCTCAGAAGTTAAATTATTTCAGACTCACCAATTTTTATTTCACCTTAGCTTTGTGGTTTGTCTTCCCTCCCTAAAGGCTTTTCTTTTTTTCATTTCCCTTTTCGAAGGAAGCCAAGCCATGGATTTTCGTTTAGTCAGATCAAGGTTCAGACCATGGCAGTGAATTAAAAAAAAGATTTTTCCAAGGTGTAAATATGTCACACAGCATGCCTGTGGTACCGAGGCAAAGGCTGCTTTACCAAGCCACGTTTACGCTTTTGCGTAACTCAGCTCATTGCTGGAGGCCTTCGGGGCTCATGGAGCAGCAGACTGGTCCTAAAGGGGTTTGCTCATTCTGCACGTTTGTTTTGCCACGGAAATACCGCGCACACTGGAAGAGGAAATCAGCTTTGTAGCAACACCTCCAAAGAAGCTAAGCAGCTTTGCAAACCCCGTGTCCCCCATCGCAAATACACCGCCTTCCAAGGAGCAATTAAAGCAGAGCCCGAATACCCAGATGAAGTTCTGCCCCCGGTGACCTTCCCGCGGCGCCGGTTAGCAGGACCAGCGGGAAGCTCCCGCTGCACGCACCGCCAACACCGGCAGCCCACAGGTACCACCGCTCAACGGGCTCCGGCCCCGCACAGCGCTCCGGGCAGCCCGGCCCCGCACAGCGCTTCAGGCATCCCACAGCCGGCCCGAACCGGCCCGGCCCGGCCCGGCGGGTGCACCTGCCGCCCGGCCCCTCTCCGCCCCAGAACGCGGACAAAGCGGCCACAACGCACCTGCTCCCGCGGCGAGGGCGGCGGCGGAAGCTCCAGGTCTGCCCGCCCCCATCTCTGCGCCCACCAGCTCTTTCCCTGAACCGATCGTCCTACTCTGCTCCAGGCCGAGCCAGGCGCTCCGGCGTCCCGGGGTCTACCTCCGACACGGGGGACCCTGCGGCCACCGCACCCCCACGTTCGCCAAGGGACACAAACTCCGTCTGCCTCTGGCCGCCGCTGTCCGGCCGGGCGGATCCGTGCTGTAAACAGGCCGGAGGCAGTACAGGCGCCGACCGCCCCCGCCCCAGCACCGGCGCTCGCCCCGCCGTGCCCCGCGCTCACCGTAGAGATGTGCGGAGGCTTCGCCCTTCCTCGCCATCGTCTCTCGGTGCCCTCCGCGCCGGCACTGCCGGGGTACAGCCAGGGGCCCGGCGCCTTCCCCCGCCGCTCAGAGCGTTCTTTGTTGCCGTGAAGGCATGAGAGGCGGCGGCGGCCGGGCAGCCTCCCGCTCAGCCGCGGCCGCCCGCAGCACCGCCCGCACCCCACGCCCACCCTCCCGTCCCGCCGGCTCCGCGGCGACGCCTGCGCC